TTTTGCCCATACAAACCATGACATAAGGCAATTAACCATTAGTGGTAAGAAGGTATGTTTCCATCATTTTCATTCCTTTTATTTGTGGGCTTTCATACTCAGTTTAATTGGGGTGGATTGGGCCACAGCCAACAAATAGCAGGTCCTGACACTTCCCCTTGTTTCACTTATGAATATATCTGAAATGTTTTCCAGCACGATCATAAACATATACCTTATGGTACTTCTCCCTTGGGATTCTTGTATTTGCACTTCAACCGAGATGCATGTCGAAAGTATTGGATTACCAAGGTTAAAAAAAAGTATTGGATTACCCCTCTTTACTAGCCCACTTATTACTCTTGGATGATTTGTTATTTTAGTAGTACTTATAAATGCCCAAATCGAGGGCAGAGTCTGGAGTTGGATGGTGGTGGTGTGTGTTGGGGATATAGAGAGGAAAAAGTTAGCTGTCTCAAAACAAATCACATGGCCCACTTCTCTAATGCTGGTACTACAGCTTGAAAATTCTTAGGTGATACGTTCTACCCAAGTTCTTAAATAAATTGCTATTTTAATGGACGAACTGTTCAGTTCCTAAAATTTCCATGAAACACTGCTTCTGTTCCTCGGTCTTTTTCTTTGCTCTTCTGTGCAGCTTTTTGTTTTGATACTATTGCTATCTTATTAAGCTTTGTCTTGCTCCACAATAACATTCCATCTATTAGGTTGATAATGCACCCAGCACAGCTGACATGGATAATTTACAAGCTCCAACTTTAGGGAGCCTAATATACTTCATGATGGCTCCAACACTGTGCTATCAGGTATGTTTCTAATCATCCTGCATAGAGAGGTAGTTGTAAAAGAATCGTGCTAACCCTGACTTCTAGAAGGTAGTTATTCTGATTGGATGATTTAATGATTCCACAGCCACATTTCCATCATATTTGGCAGAGGAACCACCGCACATGTATCTTATACTTTTACGGCCTAATATATCATTTTTTTCTTTGATTTTAACAAAATTATGTCATTTCTCCGACTTATTTCAACAAGGTAGAAAATGTTTCCCTACAAAGATTATGATGCAAATCTGAAGTTTACGTGCTTGTTAGCAAGGCACTTAGAAGATAGAATTGCAGTCCTCTGAGCCTCTTTTTGGCTAGCTTTGATTCCATTTCGTGTATTTACATATTTATATAATACTCACCAACAACTCAATGTCTTGGAGGAACTGTCATATACTTCCTCCGGTCCAAAATAAGTGTTGCAGTTTTGAACCGGGGTTAGTTCAAAACTGCGACCTTTATTATGGATTGGTGGTAGCACAACGCTGACCTAGAGGTCTCGAGTTAATTGTACTTGAGTCCGTATGCAGTTTCGTTGGTCAGTAGTGACTGCCAGTTGACAATGCCGCATGCTCTTGTTTTTGGAGCATTTAGTGACATTTATTATTTAAATTACAATTTTCATTTCCATCTAGCTGCGAAAGGGATTGTAGGAGGTTATTTGCTGTTCAAATGAACTAATTATTGGTATTAATCATGCAGCCAAGTTATCCTCGAACTGAAAATGTTAGAAAAGGGTGGCTGATTCGTCAAATTATTCTGTACTTGATATTTACAGGTATTCAAGGTTTCATTATTGAGCAGGTAAGCCATTTTATCTTTCTATGTCTTACAAAATACTCAACGTGGTTCTTAATCATCTGTTTACTTTTTTGAAATTGCAGTACATAAATCCAATCGTCGTGAACTCTCAACATCCATTGAAAGGCGGACTTCTGAATGCTGTAGAGACTGTTCTGAGGCTCTCGTTACCAAATGTTTACTTATGGCTTTGCATGTTCTATTGCTTTTTCCATCTCTGGTAAATGCCTATTCATCAATCAAGTGAATAGTTAACTTCAGTACATCACGGGATGAAAGTCTATTTGTTTTTGAATTTGTTCTCTGGATTATCCGTCATATAAAAATTCTCTTAAACACTCTCGGAATATTGCAGATTTACAGTTTGAACTCATATTGTTACACAGGTTAAATATACTTGCTGAGATTCTTCGTTTCGGTGACCGTGAATTCTACAAAGACTGGTGGAATGCAAAAACAATTGATGAGGTGAAATACAAAAGTTCTTGAAGTTAGTACTGATTTTCTTCTCATTTAAACATACCTAATTTTGTGTATGATATTTGCTTCTGCTGCATGTGCTTCTGTACCCGGATGGTATTAGTATTGGCGAAAATGGAACATGGTATGTTAGTCTTTTCTCAACCATGCTATTTTTTGCAAGCTGCTTGTAATAAAAAACAATATCTGTACATAAGCTTGCATCTTTCCGATGGAGTTATAATATTTATCCTACTCAAAGGTCAAAGAAATGTCAAGCTTAAAAGAATGAATTTGATATTTTTTTCTGTTATATTGCTTGCTGTTGGTCTTTTAATTTCTTTGTTTATTTTCCACTTTCATGGTTTTAATATGGATGATGTCTATGTTCGCAGCCCGTGCATAAATGGATTGTTCGTCATATATATTTTCCTTGCATGCGAAGTGGTATATCGAAGGTAAATTGCAAGATGTTAAACTGCTATGCTGGGCATGCGTTGTACATAGTTTGTGTTTGGTCATTTGTGCTGTTTTTCTTGCAGGAAGTTGCTGTTTTTGTATCATTTTTTGTATCTGCTGTGCTCCATGAGGTAAACCTGCTCCCTTTGCCTCCCTTCACATAACCACACTAATTATCCAGCGCTCTTTAACCACTTTTGGCACTTGTTGGGTGGCTTACTTTGTTCTCTGTTTGATGTTCAATAAAAGTAGCATCTCGGCTTGTCGTGAGTAAATCATGATACCTTTTGATTATTGTATACCAGCTTGTTGTTGCTGTCCCCTGCCGAATTCTGAAGTTCTGGGCATTCCTAGGGATCATGCTGCAGGTATGCCAAAATTTATTGCTGCATCATAGAATATTGTGCAAGATATGTTGTGAATTTCTAACTTAAATTGTGGTCACTTTTGAGGATCATCCTATATGTTGTCTCTTGTATTCTACTCCCTCCGTCCTATAATATAAGACATTTTTTGACACTAGTGTAGTGTCAAAAAATATAAGATACTACCTCTGTTTATAAATATAAGATGTTTTGGCAGTTCAATTTAAACTGCCAAAACGTCTTATATTTAGGAACAGAGGCTGTACTTGATAGTAAGTAGGTCCGTCCTGCTGTATCATCTAAGACAGCGAACTTTGCTTACATCATCTCCTTTTCTCCCTTGTTGCCAGATCCCCCTTATCACATTGACATCATGCCTCAAAAGCAAATTCAGGGATACAATGGTTAGCCATCCTTTTCTTGTTTCCTACCAAAGGATTCTACTTTCATGTAAACCAGTTCTAATTTATAGTCACCTTCAACAGGCCGGCAACATGATATTTTGGTTCTTTTTCTGCATCTACGGGCAGCCTATGTGCGTTCTCCTGTACTATCATGATGTGATGAACAGGATTGGGAAGACAGAATAGAGCCCCATCTTCTTTCTTATTCCACTGGACGAACGGATTCAAAGAAGCAATAATATGTACAACATGAAACCGCATAATTTCTTACACTGCAACAATCTTTCTTGGAAAATCTAGCAGCTAACTAGTCGTGGGCATTATTGTACATGTACATAAGCTTACGTTTTTCACTAAA